TCCCGTGTGTTCAAAACAAGGCGGAGGCCTCCACAACATGCTTGATCGACCGTCATGGAGGAGACCTGATACAACAGAGAGTCAGAGAGAGTTCACCCGCGGCGCTCTGTCTCCCATGGCGCCTGTGGGTGTGTGTACAACTACATTTAAAATAGAATTTCTGCCTTAGAAGTCCCTTACGAAAATACGATGTTCCTAACGTGGAAGTGAGCTAACCCTCCTCCTAATTTTAGAATAGTACGTGCCAGTACTAGAAAAATGCTGTGCCAAAACCACTCCATATTTGCATCTGTAATGCTGTCTTCTTTACTAGCATTTCTCATTGCTGACTCTCATCTTAGCTTCTTATTCTCCCATCTGACAGTGATCAACATTGTTTTCCGTGAATTAGCCGGTTTTTCATTAACGATGTAATACAAACCAAAAAAAAAAGGGAAGGCAGAGAGTATCACAATGATACAACTTTTTCTCCAGAAGGAAGAAACATTGCCCAGACTGCACTGAGGAAATATAATGAGAGGTGATGGAGGAAAATAAGGGAAGGAAGATTTCCTCACAGGGAGATTTTAAGTAGAGTCTGGCAATGATCTCCCAAAGGAAGCAGTGGAAGTCTGGTCACTTAAATCAATTAAAACTAACCAGAGCATCACACTCCACAGGACTCTGTAAGGAGAAAAGCAGTGTCAGACTGAACTAAAATAGATTTCACATGCTTATTTTCTGCAGGGCTCCTGTCTGTATTTTGCCAGTAAATTCAATATGGCTAATGCTGATTAACAACTCTCTTGACGGTGATTATATCATTGCATTATTTCCAGCCTGTTCCTCAGTATCATAAACTCATGAGGACATGGACACACGAAACACGTCCCCTGGCTCGGCTAGCTCAATCTGAAAGACAAGTGGCAGTTAAAGGGCTGGAGAACTTACTTTCTTTCACCTTAGCAGTGGTCCAGCCTGTTATTGCTACAACGCTGAATTGACGTAGACCTCCACACCAGGTGCTGAGCGTGGTGTACCTGTGGCTGCATGGCAGAGGCAGGAGCTACACCCAGAGCAGGACCCCCAGAGCTTGATCTTGGATTGCTGTAGAGCAAGGAGATGTGCCAGATGGCTTAGGTAGGGCTGCAGTACCTGTGTGCTGTCTGCACTCGGTTTTAATGCGTACAAGACCCACTGGGGACAGGAGTGAGACAAAATAAAGTCACTCCTCCTTAGACTTGGTGGCACATTTCACATGTTTCAAGTACACAAGGGAAGTCCTCTCCTGGCCTGCTTTGAAAGATAAGGGAAAGCAAGCCTCCAAGAAGCTGAGATCTTCGCTTTACTTCTCCTGTCTGTGTGGACATTGTTGTTTTCTATTTATGTGCTACCTTTTCTCTGCCTGGTTTTCTTGTAGCCAGTCAATTCCATTTAAACAGTATAAAAGTATAAATGGGTAGAAATCGGAATACTACAAATGACGGGAAGGCAGGGAAGGGAGGGACTTGGCACATGAGCTCAGACAAGGTGCCCAGTGGAGGTTCCCACAAATTGACCTGCCTATTTAAGCATTAATTTATATGGAAAATAAGGTTTAAAAGCAAACAAATCTTGGACATATGGCATCTTATTTACAGTAGGGGAAAAAAAAAATAAACTGAGATTGTTGTTGGCATGTCTTTTACCCATCCAGCAAAGGTCTCTCTCACATGTAAATGGAGACTGTTATATCGGAGAAATGATCTGTTTCCTTCTGCAAACACAGATCAACTTGGTTTCACTAACTGTTTTCGCTGGGGTGCATCAGTCAGGTCAAATCATTTCAAAAGACTGTTCTTACCTCTTCCTACAGAAATGCATGTGTGATGGTAATACACGCAGCTTCGAAGCCTTTTCTTTCCCAGTGTGCAGTGCTCAGAGCCACGCTCCTGCACCTCGATTCCAGCCTTCCTGCCAGAATGCATCAGATGCGGGCAGTCCCAAAGCTGGTGGGATGGAGGCAGGGTTCCTGCCATGGGAGTCGAATCAATATTTAGACAGCTTCAGGCAACAGAGATCGCACTGGCTTTCACACTTGGCTTTGCATCCATTTGTTACCAGAGTTATTGTTTGTGCAGCATCAAGCATTGGCACTTGAGAGATTCCTCCCTGAGGGCAATGACGAGCACCGGGTGTTTGAGAGGGAACTTTCCCCCTCCTGGGCCTGAAGATTGTGAGAGTGAGGAAAGTTGTGTAACTGGGTAAGATCTCGTAAGGAAGTCAAGGCATGCGTTTGACCAGCGTTGTCATCATCCTTCACTTGAGGCATCTTCTGGGCATCATGGGGAGCCCACGGCGCAGTCTTGGGCTTTGCTTCCGATACATCCAGCACAGAACAGCTGTTAACAGCTGTCTTGCTGCTCTTTGTTATTGCGGTGGTTTATTGGGAGCGAAAACCTGAGTCAGCGTGGGAGCCAGCCTTGCTGTGGGGTGGTATGAGTCAGCCCAAAGCTCTGCAGCGTGCCTGCGCTGGGGCGGCGGGCAGGCAGGTGAAACCCTGGCCCAGCACAGAAAGTGATTTTAATTTCCTTTCCAGTCATTCCACCTAGTGGCCAAGTGACACAACTGCCAGGAGAGTTGAGTTTGTGCTCCAGAGTCCCTCCTCATCGAAAGGGACCCAAAAACCGCAGACGGTGTTTATGGCTGCTCGTACCGACCTACGCTGCTGCGGAGCTTACGAGATGTGTAGGAATACATAAGCCCCCACACTGAAGATATTACCAAAGAGAAACCTCAGCCTGAGCTCATTAAGTTCCCGAGCAATTTTATTAATCATGCTGCATAGATAAAATGCAGATAGGCCTTTAGTGAGCTGATAATCTAACAAATAGGCAGAAAGTGTGACACTGATAAAGCAGAGATCAGTTTAATAGCCAGCTGTAAATCTAGGCAATTCTGTACTGGAGGCGTATTGTAAAACAGGAATGTGCAAGTGTGTAAGTATGTGCATGAAAATGTGCTGATTCTTAAAACAGCAGATACAGGAGTAATATTATGTATGGAAAAGCTATTGTGAGCAATTTTAGAGGTGTTTTAAAGTATTTTTCTCTCCATCAAAGTCTGCACCCCTATGGTGTGTTCATAATCCAGCATCACAAGAGCAGATCTGTGAATAACAAAGGCTTGTTTCTGGAAGTCGGGATTTTCTATAAAAATCTGTGAGCTGCACCACTGGTCCTTGTAGGGAATTTACAGGCTTTTCATTAGGATGAACCAAATTATTCACTCAGATTTATGCTACTCACAGATAAGACTGTCACAAACTCATGGCCTGATGTCTCACCAACCTCTTGAACAGCTTCCTGCTCAGTGGTGTACATGAACTTGATTGGAAGGACAGGGAAAAGCAGCTCACCTTTAGGGTATCCCATACCTACTGGATGGGATATCCTTCTGAGGAGCTGGGAAACGTGAGTTTGAATCCCCACAGCCTGGGGAAGGGACCTGATCTCCTACTTTCTAGGTCCCTCTTCTGATCTTTAGACTATTCTACAAAAAGTGGACAGCAATGCTTCCTCTTCTTGTTTGTTTTAGAAGAAGAAACTGAGCTGGGAACACCCACCTACAGCCAGAAGGAGATTGCATCCCAGCCTCACATAGGCGTGCGGGTGCTTGGGTGCTCTGAATCCCATCTAAATGTCTTTCCTTGGTATGCAAAGCAAAGGGAATTCAGATTTGTGAATACCACTTGCAAGCAAGGCATAAAGGCGTCTTGGAGAATCGAGACTGAAGTGACTTGCCAGGGTCGTGTAGAAGGTGTTTGATGCAGCAGGAAATTAAGTTGTAGTCTCCTGAGTCTCAACTTCGTGGCCAAACCACTGAATCTTCTTCTTGTGGAGAAACCTTTATCCTTGATGGTGAGCCCTGGTTTTGAAGCAGCCTCTTGCTGCTTCATGAAGAATGGTTTTTCCAGTATCTTTGTTTCCTGCCCATTGCGGGGAAACATGCAGCAGAATTTAGTGTCAGTGCATTTTTTGCTGAAAAATAGACAAAATCTTTAGTTTACCATGTGGCTTAGCAAGTTATTTAATAGTTACATGTGGAGATATCACTGTAAAAAATCTGGGGGGAGAAAATATGTATTTTTAATGTATGATATGTGAATGTAAAATATAGCGTAGATGGTACAACGAGAAAAAAGGACAGGTAGTGGTGCATAGCTCAGACCTGGAACAGTTGGTTGGAGATCACTCTCCCAGAAACAGTGTTGTTACTCTTCCTACCAAGAAAATGGTCAAAAATTATGTACCAAGGTAGCACTCTGAGTGATCTGTATCACTTGAACTATGAATATGGATTCTTTTCCTGTTAGCTGTACCTTAGACTCACTAAAATCAGGAACAGTATGAGGATAATAATCTCCACAGGATGGAGGAAGGAGCTGTGCGGTCATCACTTACCTGTTGTTTACTCAGCAATGGCTTGCAAAAATCTGAGAAGAAGAACCGGAACCAGTTTGGTCTTGAAAAAGGCAGAAAGATATTTTCCATTGAATTTTTCTATAATATTAAATGTTTCCTTGCCAAAACTCTTTCTGAATTTAAGGGGTATCTTAAGCTTGAAACCATTGTTCACCAGAGCTTCTGTCAGGGAGAAGAATCAGATTTGAATTGATACTTTCAGGGTGGTGGGCTGCATCACAGTTAAAGTAAGATCCATTCAAGAATTAGCAGCGTCAGCACCCGCCCATTTTCTCAGTCTTTTATTACAGCAGAGGCTTACATCGTAGATGTTCAAGATACTTGGGAAAAATAATGCTCAGCTCAACCTGTACAGTGATGTACAGGAGCAACATAAAGGGAGCAGTGCTAGTTACTGCATGCAGCATCGTTGCTGACCCGATAGACGAATAACTGGTACTGAGCAGTACTTACTTCTGGTCGCTGGATCTGTTAGCTTCTCTAACTACATGATGAAGGACATGGGATGATAGCAAGAACTGATGGTAACACCGGCAATTTCCCTCTCTTTTTTTGCAGGTCACTGTCAGGGGATTTGGTCCGTTGTTACAGTTTGCCTACACTGCTAAGCTGTTACTCAGCAGAGAAAACATCCAGGAGGTCATCCACTGCGCTGAATTCCTGCGCATGCACAACCTGGAGGACTCCTGCTTCAGCTTCCTTCAGACGCAACTGCTGAACAACGAAGATGGCCTGTTCCTGTGCAAAAAAGATACCACCTGTCAGCGCATGCACGATGAGGAAAACTCAGATGGAGATGAGGAGGAGACAATGGAATCGGAGACGTCAAAAATATCTTGCCCAAGAGAGAGGATGCACCAAGAGCCCTTCAATTTCGAAACCACTGTTGCTGGAGCAGATAAAGGCGAAGGGATGCTGCCTGACTCTGACATGCTGAGAGATAGCAAGGACAATTTGGACAAAGATGCAGTAACACGGTACCCCAGATACAAGAAATACCAGCTTGCTTGTACCAAGAATGTCTACAACACATCACACATCAGTACCTCAGGTTTTGCAAGCACATTCAGCGAAGAGAGCTCTGGAAATGGCCTCAAATCAGGACTTGCTATGGGGCAGATAAAAAGCGAGCCTCAGAATGAAGAGAACGATGAAGAAAGCATCACACTTTGCCTGTCTGGAGATGAACCTGACATCAGGGATAAAGAAGGGGATGTTGAAATGGACAGGAAACAGCCAAGCCCCACTTGCGTCGACAGGCCAAAAAGTGGGTCTTCTCCTTCTTGCTTGCGGTCTTTCTTCAACAGAACAAAAAGCATAGATTTGGTTGGCTTCCCCAGCACTTCCCAACAGCACTTTGGCAGGAGTCCAGCATGCCCTTTTGAAAAAGGGACAACTCAGGGTGACCACAAAACTGATTACGTCCCTTTCACAGGGAACTATGGACAGTCCCATGCCATGCAGAAAGATGCTTCCAGCTTCACAGTGGGATCGCCGCTCAGGGGGCCCGGCTTTGAAACTCTGTGTAAGCAAGAAGGGGAACTGGACAGGAGGAGTGTTATATTCTCTTCAAACGCTTGTGACCAAGTAAACACTTCGGTGCATTCGTATTCTGGTGTGAGCAGCTTGGACAAAGACCTCACTGAGACTGTGCCAAAGGGTCTGTGGGCTGGCGGTAGCCAGTCTCTCCCCAGCTCTCAGACCTATTCGCACAGCGGACTGACAGCTGATCACTTGCCAGGAAGGATGCGGCCGAACACCAGCTGTCCGGTGCCAATTAAAGTTTGCCCTCGCTCTCCTCCTTTGGAAACCAGAACCAGGACCTCCAGCTCGTGCTCTTCCTACTCGTACGCAGAGGACGGCAGCGGCGGCTCTCCCTGCAGTCTGCGTCTTTGTGAGCTCTCCTCTTCCCCTTGCTCCCAAGGCCCCCGATTCCTGGCGCCCGAGCACCAGGAGCCCGGCGTGGTGGGGGATGGATTGTACAACCCAGTCCGAGCCCAGATTAAATGTGAGCCATCCTATGGAACAAACTCCAGCGATGAGTCTGGGTCATTCTCAGAAGCAGACAGTGAATCATGTCCTGTGCAAGACAGAGGGCATGAGGTAGGGATTTAAGATAAGTACATATATCACAGTCGTTATGACCCAATTAATCGCTCTTTGATTCTCTGGAATGACTTGGCATTTCCCCAGCACTTTCTTTGTTTATAGGGGCAAAGAGTAACTTCTGTTTATTCCCTCGTCAGCTGAGTGCGCGGGGTTGACTTCCTGTCAGTAGGTCTGCTTGACCTCCTGTTTGGTGCTTACCAGAATTTGGGTATGGGCAATAACAAACTGCTGAATGATGAGAGCGCATTCGTGTGCTTAGGATTCTGCTGGCAGTGTCCTGGCCTCCTCCCTCCCTCGCCCACGGCACAAAGCACCGTTCCTCATCCTCAGTTTGCCGAGGTGGTTCCAGCTGCACTTGTTATTGAGCAACCTCAAGCCATGCCTTTGCTGACACCATGGGTCGGGCAGCCTGCACCAAGAGCCCCTGCTGCTTGTTGCTAGCAGCCCGAGTAAAGGAGGCAGACAGAGTGGGAGGAGAAAGAGGTGTGAAATGACTTGAATAGTTGCAGAGCTGGCTACCCTCAGCTGCTAGAATGGTGTTCAAGTCATCTTCCCTCTGTGTGTGTGTCTCACATGTGCAGGTAATGGGTTTTGCCTCCATTAAGTGATAACTGAGATGGTGTTTCCTGCCCGTGACCCCACGTTGGTGGCGAGCTCTAGCAGCTGTTGCATAAATGGTTTCTGAGAGAAGTTGTCCTTTAATTTCCAGGACTGTTAGGAGAACAACACATGGACAGATTTCCATGCAGCTCTCATGAGAGGGAGGAAAAGGAGAGCCCAGTTAGAAGCTAGAGATGGGCCAGCTGGAGATGCTGAGGTGACAACTGGCTAACTGTGATAGAATAAACTGCCTGTGTAAAGTCACTGGTTTGAGGGAATGCTTAAATCATGGAGATGCATTGTGGAGCCCAGAAACTGAAAAAAGAATGGATGTTTTCTTAGAGTTTCATTAGGAAACTGCATGAACTGGAGAGCATCTGGGTGAAACCGCATGTCTGGCTGTTCCAGTAACCTCCAGTAATGCTGAAGTGCTCCACTAAGAGCTTGTGCTTTAGTGTGGGGAGCAGAGAGTGCAAGTTTGAGGGGTTCACATGCAGTCAGCACACAGGACAGAACCAGGTGTCTTATTGTGGGCTAGGGATGAAAAGAGTGAGCTTTTTTTCTCTCTTAATCTTTATTCCAGCTACATCCCAGGCCCTGGAGGATACCTTTCAGGCAGATGTGAGTGGTTGCTTAGCTTTAAGGAAAGGCCGAAGAGCCTGGGCAGCCTCTAGTGTCCTAATCCCTGTCATGCTGTGCCAGTAGTTTTGAGAGGACAGTTCTTGTTTGTCCCTGTGTCCTGAGCTGAGGACAATGCAGAACGGTGAGGAGTCTCCTTGGGAGGGGACAATGGAGAAGGGTGAGGAGTCTTCTTGGGAGACTGCCTGGGATACTGTACGTGAGACCTTGTTCGGGAAGTCCTACAGCAGAACCGCTCTGCTTGGCCATACCAAGGTTACTCTGTGAAGTCCTTCCTTTACAAGGGGCAGAGGAGAGCAGGGAGTGAGACTGAGGGGAGCGCCGGATCTCCACCCACATGTGCTGCTTGCTCAGCAAGGGCTAATGCACAGCATGAGGCAGCGAAGAGGGCGGGAGGTTAGCCTTTTGGGGTTTGATGACTAATTAGCTGTCATAATTGGCTAATTGTGTGGAGATGCTGCAGCAGAAACGAGCCTGGAAGAGTCAAATGAGAAGGTTATAGGGGACTGGTGGTAGTTTCCTGAAAAAAAGTACGTGAATGTGTGGATGAGAGGAGGAACGTTCACAAGAGTAGCAAGCGAGTGGGCTATGGGTGGCCATCTCGGTGTGCCACTGGCAGGCAGACCTGTCTTGCTCCTGGGGCAAACCTAGGAACAGCTTGCTCCACTCCCGGTTTTGCCACTGTTTCGTCCTGGGAAGATTTTCTCCACCATGCTGAGCAAGTTTTCTTCCCAGGACTGCTGATAAAGCTTTTTTTCTTTTTTTTTTTTTTTTTTTTAGGGCATGTTCATTAGGCCTGCTAGGCATTATAAATGTGGTGAGGAAATTAAAGCTCTGTCAGGTTGCACTGCGCTGTCCTGAGCAAGCCAAGGGTAAACACATCACACCAGTGCTTCAGTACAGATTTTGTCTGAAAAATGAATTTGCAAAGGTTGTTACTGGTACAAAGAATGACACTGCAGCCTGATTAAACAATGTTGTATTTATATAGTGACTTGGGGTGTGTATCCTGCAATCCTGCGAGATCTGCTGCTGTGGAAACCTCAGTGAAGGATATGTTAAACCAGGCAGTAGAAAATATTTCGTGGCAGCAGGAAGCTCTTGTGTAAGCCCCTCTACCTACTTTTAGCAGTTTGACTGCCGTTAAAACAGCAGGAAGGACTCACAGCAGTCTGAAATGGACCGCTTTCTGTCCTTCGCCTTCCCTTAAGCTGCATGGAAATCTTTCTCCATTCCTGAAATTGCCCATTTGCCCTTGCTCTCCTAACGACTTCCCAGAGGGGTCCCTTGTCCCCTGTCTTATCAGATCACACAGTGTTTGCTGGGCTTCTCTTCAAAAAGCTTCCGATAAGATAGCTGGGGGTGACACACAGGCACTCACCCCTCTGGAGAGCAGCCACGCAGGCTCTTCCATTGTGGGTGGACTTTCATTTGAGTGGGACGGCCTGATGGGAATAAGGCTGATGGACTCTGACCCTCGCTTATCTCACAGAGCTGTTCAGTTCCTCTGAACTTTGGACGTTGCTGGTCTTGATTTGGGTCCCGGAATGCTGCTGGTGTCAGAATAAATGTCAGAAAACGCTCATTGGCCAGTTTATTGATTGTGTGAGAAGTAGGTGAAAGGTTTCTTCTCTCTGCTTTTTTAGGGCACTCTGCGTTCCTGCAGATGGATGCCATTCAGGAGCACATGCCCAAGTTGTTTGGTGCTAGGGCTCGGCGTGAGTGCCGTGTGGGTGAAGATGACCCTGCTTTGGGTGAAGGTGACCTTGCTTGCGGCCAGCCTCCCTGTCCCTTGCAGGGGTGGGAGTGTCAGAGGAGGTGGTGGTCACCGTAACACCACTAGTAAATCCTCTCTGGGATGTCTTTGCCTTTCTTTTTCCTTCCTGTTAAGGGAGCCACACAATCTTCTGAGATTTCCCTTTCTTAAGGCTTTGTGATAGAAGCAGCAAGTTCAATGTGGGGTGTCTCCGTGTTACGGAGTCACAGGAACAGGGCTGTTACTTGAGCTGCTGGGATTTTACAGAGGTATTTAACAGTTTGTTTGCTCTTTGCACCCAGATCCCTCAGGCCTCCACAGGTTGTTAAAAATCAGTTACTGGGATATAATACCAGAAAGAAGACTTACACTCAGTGCTTGCAGGCAGGTTCTGACAATCCTGCTTAAAATAGCAACAACAAAACAATAAGCCCTGAAATAATGAATTGTAGAGAAGGAAGTAGTCTGTCAATCTGTTAACCTACTTAGGAACAGAAACTTCAGCACTACCTACTTTTCTTGATCTTTATTTTCTTCAGCAACTATCTATAGGTATTTTTCTGCTAGAAAACCTGTAAAAAATATCATACTACTAAACCACTTAAAAAGAAATCTCAGCTTGGTCTAATTTGATGAGAGTTTTCTTAGGAAAAGAATAAACAAGGGGAGGAGGAGGTAAGAGGTGGAGTTTTCCAAGAACTATTGCTATCTAGAGAATTGCATTCAATGTGTCTTTCATTTGTATTTCAAAAGAATTTCCCGCCTGGGTTAGTGACTCACTTTTCAAAGGAAATTTTCATTTTTTCATCAATTGTGTTGTGATAGATAGGAAAGTCTGTTTGCTGTGGGATCTACTGATCTAGCCCATTTCAGACCTGGTTTGTTAACACAATGCTAGGCCTTCACTGCCTGGGCTCGCCGTTCTCCTCTTGAAGTCCTCTGCCATGTTGGTGTGGTTGACACCTGAAAAGAAGTGTTTTGAAGGCTTTACCTATGCCAGTAGACAGTGGGGTAAGGAAACTAGTGAGAGTGCGTCCCACCTGTCCTCTCTGTTCCATAAAGTGTGGCCCATTGGCTTTGTACTTCTTAGATAGCTTCTGTCCAAGTGACACCAGGTAGGTCCCTATTCCGTGGGACCACAAACAGTGCCTGAAATAGTGTGTAGGCACTCGAGTCCCTAACACAGGTGGACACACCTCAGTTCCTCTTCTGGGATGAGTTTCTTCCTGAGCCTTTGTGGAAGACAAGACGTGCATGCTAAGGAAGATGTTAGGAAAAACAGCATTAATGTGTTGAGCTCTTCTTTGTGAACCAAATTACCCCTTTCTACATCAAAAAAGCATTGATGTGATTCACTCCCTATGCTAGATTGCCTCGGTGGTCCTGACAGCTTTCCAAGGGCTGGGCAATTTTAAGTGTCAGAGGCTTTCAGTAGCTCTGGCTTTCAATTTAAGGACATTAAGGCAACATTTTTATTTCTTACAAGTCTGGAGCAACCGACCGAGATTTTGAACCATTTATAAAGGTCAAGCTGGTACCGTGAGTTCTGCCCTCCCGTGCCCAGTACATAATGATTACTTTTTCCTATCAATAATATCGGTATCTTTACTAGCACTTGACAGCTCAAGGAAGATGATGTTGAAATTTAGATATAAAGAAATAGTGAAAAAGCTAATGTTAGTCATGAGGTAAGGAAATTCCCAACACTTAGCATTTATATTTTAATGTAAGTGAATACGGGGCCTTGGTCCTTTCCTTTATTCCAAAGAAAATGAGAGAGAGGAGAGCAGCAGCAGTAGCTGGCATATGATCCCAGTTGGCACTAACTAGTGAAACTTGAAGGAATTAATTGGTTATATATGGGCCTTTCATGTGCTGCGTCAATGGCTGTCCCTCTCTGCCTAGATCGCTGCTGTTCCATAGCCACTCAAAACAATGACATTTACACTGGCATCCTAATACTGATACAGTGGGGAAAATGCCACAAAATCATAAATAAGTTTTCTTTTTCACCAGGGTGGGTTGGCTGTCGTCTCAGGGGTGCATCATCCAGAGCCGGGGGCAATAGAGGCTGCAGCAGTGGTGGAAAGTGCCTCTTTATTTGTTGTGTGGTGGAGACAGAGCCTCTGCTGTTGGGGTAAAAATTTTTAATCATGGTGATAGGGAAGATTTTAGAGCTCTGTGAGATTAACTCTGGCTGAAGTAACTCCTGGAAGGAGTGGGGATCCTGCTTTACATTTCTAATTTGAATTAGTCCAAACCAAAGAGTACCCAGTTATTTCCTGTGTAAAATTCATAGTTACTAAAACGAATAGTTTACAAGAAAACATACTTGCTGGGTTTTTCTTGCACGTCTTAGAAAAGGTTGACTGTCCTTTTTCAGACACCTCAGCCAAGGTTTCTCTAGCCTACCTTAGATACTTTTTTCCTAAGTCTCGTGTCTGCTCCTTCTGCTGCCAGGAGGAGGGAGAAGCCGCTTGGGATGCATTACCATCCAAAGGCCTCTCTGTCCTCCATGTCAACAGCAGGGACCTGGACACAAGCTGGCCCCAACCCATCATTTCAGACAGCTCTGAGTGGGTCAGGTGAATCCCACCCATGGCACAGTCGTGAGCTCTTGCAAATTGACTCACAGCTCCATTGTCATAAATACCAGTGGAGAGTCTTGCCCTGCACTGACATAAAACACCATTAGCCTCTCACTGCAGCAATACCCCAACGTGGTTATTCACTGTGTCCATTCCAAAGGCTCAGTGTTGGGTTTTTTTCCCAGTTGACAGCTAATTGCAGAGAGGGAGACAGGCAATAAAAGTGCTGTGAATGGTGAAGGAAATGAGTCTGACTCATTTCCACTCTCCCTTTCACGTTTTTAATCCTGCGCAGTGCTGCCTATGACAGGAGTGGGATTATGCTGGGTTTACTGATAGCAGTCTCTGGCCTGCTGTGTGGATGGTTTTATTTTCAACCCGTTATTTTTTTTTATGAATCTGTTTCTATTTATTTTCCCATTTCCCTTCAGCGACTTCTACCTGACAGATTTAAGTCGCTTCCCTTTCATTCCCATTCCAGCTGCAAGCACATCTCCTTCTTGCAAGTAACTATGTTTTGAAAGGGAGAGGGAGGGAGAAATAAAGTTAATATCGCTTTCCGCTTTGGACTTAAGAAAATAAGGAAAACCTGGGAATGTGAAAGGACTGGTTTTGCAGTGAAACTGTGGCGTCTTTCAGAGGAAAGCACAGGCTGTTTTCATTTTCAGACCCTGCTTGAAGCTTGAGAGAAAACCAGGTGACACTGAGTTTATGTTGACCATCCAAAGGGTAGGGAGGGGAAATCAAACAGGTTCCATGTCATTAGTTAGCAGTCTGTAAACAAGGTAGTCCACATCACTGTGCCCAAGGTCAGCCTCTGTGTGTACAAACCAGAGTTGGGGGGGAATTGGGGCAGTGTTTGTCTGCTGTTTCTTGCTGGTTTAAATTGACCCGTCAAGTAGTGTGTTACGAAGCGGTGCCTGGACAGGTGGGGCAGAGAGGCAATGTTCAGGGCATGAAACCATCTGAAAGGATGCGGTAGGTGTTTGCGCTGAATGTCACGTGGCACAGGCCTGGAGATGTGCAGAGCAATGATGGAAGAGCGCAAGAAAATGCAAGCTCATAAACAAGGCGGGGAGCTGGTTATCAGCAGGTTTGTATGCTCGGCAATGGTCCGTGACTGTCCATGCCAGAGGCCACCGCTGTGTGTTTGTGTACATGTGTCCTCAGCAAACTGTTCTGCATAAACAAACTCAGCTCTCCGATGAAAATAATTTATTTCTAATATGTGCTGTTATTTTCTTTATCTCCAAATGATTAAAGAAGTACACTGTTTGAAGACAATAACTGTGTTTTATATATCAAAGGAACCTTTTCAACCCAAATCTTTTGCTTGGCTGGAGCAACTCCGGTCTATCTTCTTTGGTAGCCTGTGTGCAGAATAGTCTCCTTGTTAGAAAGGCTAGATTGTACCAAACGGGGACAGAAATGTAAATATTTACTGCCACCTTTTGGGCAGTGTGGGTATGACTCAAAAACAGAAAGGTGGTCAATCCAGTTACTCAGTTGTCATCTGCCTCAGCAGACTTTTTTTTTTGATAGTCATGTTATCAGTCTCAAGCTACAAGTGAAGCAGGGTTTGCAGGGAGAAGTGCTCACTTTGAGCAAGCTTATAGGTGTGGGGGAAGAAAGCTAACAGAAGTCTTCGAGTACATTTGCCATTTTCCAAGTTTTGAGACAGTGTGTGTTTGTTGCCCCGAGCTGTCAGGAGTTTTGTGTTTTGCTTTGCTTTAATGCATTATCGGTAGGAGCCGAAGGGATGGTTGGAATTCCTGAAGTCAGAACCTGGAGCTGCTGTTGCATGGTCTACAGTCAAAACAGGATGGCAGTCTGTGGCCCAAAGGAAAAATGTTTTACTGCAAGTAACCAAGGTTTTACACTGTTTGAGTTTTTTTTCAAGAAATGCAACTTGGGTGCTTTTGAAGATACAAAAATATCAGAACGTCAGCAGAAACTGCTTTATTTCTAAATGTGTATATTTTAGCAGGGTAGGCTATGTTGTATCACACTCCTCTGACCCTTTCTTCTAATACAGTATACTGCTCAGTTGAAATGCTGATTAGATGACCTTTCCTAATTGTGATCTGATATTTTTCATCCACTTGAGGTATCAGGTTGCATTTTTAACCTCATACCTAATCAAACTTTCAGTCCTGCATGCCGTGCAAAGACAGGTTTCCTGCTGCGGTAATAGCCTGTTCCTTGAAACTAGTTTGAAATTAGCAGCAGCGAGGTACGTCACTGTTGCCAAAAGGCCGTGTTTCTCAATGAACAGAGCCTTCTCTGAATGCAAGGAGATCTATTATTAGAGCTTTTTAGAAAGATTAGGTTTTTACCTGGGATTCATCTATGTGGCTGATTTTACTACAATTATAATCTGATCCTTACCAGCTGGACCTCCACAGTGTGCTACAAGGGAGTGTTAAAACCTTGCTGAATGTGAAACTTGATGTGTTGTTTGTTTAGGGGGTAGCTGTGTAGCTAATCGTCCTTCCGCTCACAGTTGTTCAGCTTGCATTCAGCAAGCAAAATATGACTCTGTGCTCTCGTCTTGTATTTGTTTGTTTTAGGTGAAACTTCCCTTTCCTGTTGATCAAATCACAGATCTTCCAAGGAATGATTTCCAGATGATGATAAAGATGCACAAGCTAACCTCAGAGCAGCTCGAGTTCATCCACGACGTCCGCCGGCGCAGCAAGAACCGAATCGCAGCTCAGCGCTGCCGCAAGAGGAAACTGGACTGTATTCAGAACCTAGAATGTGAAATCCGAAAGTTGGTGAGTTGTGTGCTCTCGCCACGTCCCCGCTCACCCTTGCGCTGCAGCTTGCAGGGCACTCAGCAATTCCTATCCAGAGTTCAGTGGGTTCAGTCAACTCGTACGTAAGTAAGCAGAGCCACTAGTGTCAAAATCTAATATACGAAAATATGTTAGTGTGTGTGTTTATAGAATACATATGGGAAACACAAAATTCCAGTGGAGTGAGGCCTAGATATCTTTTGATTTTGATATGTCAAGAGCAGGTTGTTGAGTGAGTTGGAAGAGGAGGGAAGCTTATATCACAGCTCCCTTCTTGCAGTTTAGCTTACCCCCAGTACTTACAATGCATCCACAAAGGCATTTCCTCGTCCTAGCCCGATTTCCATCCCTAACTACCATAACAATCTGTTGGACAGGGATTCGTGGAGTGCTCAAAAGAGAGAGGTGTGAAGAGACCTTCAGAAATTGTCTAGTCCAAACAGTGGTACGGCAGGGCCAGCTTCATCTCTATACAGAGATTTTCTTTCTCTTTGTTGTGCTAGAAGGGAGCTCAAGGGTCCTGCACTTGGGCCACAACAACCCCCTGCAGCGTTACAGGCTTGGGGAAGTGTGGCTGGAAAGCTGCACAGCAGAGAAGGACCTGGGGGTGCTGGTCGACAGCCAATTGAACATGAGCCAGCAGTGTGCCCAAGCGGTCAAGAAAGCCAACGGAATCCTGGCATGTATCAGAAACGGTGTGGCCAGCAGGAGCAGGGAAGTGATTGTCCCCCTATACTCAGCACTGGTGAGGCCACACCTGGAGTACTGTGTCCAGTTTTGGGCCCCTCACTTCAAGAAGGACGTTGAGGTGCTGGAGCGGGTTCAGAGAAGGGCAACAAAACTAGTGAAGGGTTTAGAGAACTTGTCCTATGAGGAGCCGCTGAGGGAGCTGGGACTGTTTAGTCTGGAGAAGAGGAGGCTCAGGGGGACCTTATTGCTTTCTAGAATTACCTGAAAGGAAGTTGTAGGGAGATGGGGGTCGGTCTCTTCTCCCACTTTGTGAATAACAGGACAAGAGGGAATGGCCTCAAGTTGCGCCAGGGGAAATTCAGGTTAGATATCAGGAAGAATTTCTTTACAGAGAGGGTTGTGAAGTATTGGAACAGGCTGCCCAGGGAGGTGGTGGAGTCCCCATCCCTGGAGGTGTTTAAAAACCGTGTGGATTTGGTGTTGAGCAACATGGTTTAGGGACCCTGACAGTGCAGGGTGAATGGTTGGACTCGATGATCTTGAAGGTCTCTTCCAACCAGATGATTCTATGATTCTATAAGGTTTTCAGGACTTTTCAGCTCACTATGCCTTTTCTTCAGCTCTCTCATTCACTGAGCAAATGGCAGAAATGGCAAGAGAAGTGAAAAGCCGGGAATATCCAGACAAATGGCCATCCCTTTGTGTAGGTCAGTAAGAAGGCAAGGGTATGTTTCTCCTTGCTCCTGTTGTCTTCCTCCCTCCAACGCTCCTAGCATGCCATGGACTGAAACCCTCCTATGATTCAAAGACCATCTAACACAAAAGGCCTGTTCCCACTCCACAGGGCATTGGCCTTCACATCCCATGGACTGGGTTCAGGTGACAACTGCTGGTTTGCCACAACCCTCCTTGATGTGTGTCTCTGGATGAGTTTTCTGTGTGCCAAGGTGTCAGTGGACAGTGCTACCACATTTTAATCTAAAGGAGTGAGGTCACTGGAGCAAGGCTAAACAGCTGCTCAGGAAATTTCTCTCTCTTTCAGTCATGGTATAGACACCTAAGGTGTGGTTGGGGTGGCTAGACACAGATGTCTACAATATAGACACCTGCACTGGAGCTGGTTGTCCTGGTGTCCTTTATAGTCAATGAAGAGAAGTAGATACCTGTCGAGTCTTACTTGTCTCATCCTGCAGCAGAGGTGACATACAGTCCAGAAGTGCCTGTTCCTCTCCGTCGCTAAACAAGATCACCTGGAGAGCCTTGTCAGATGTAGACATCTTAGTTATAGGCACCTTAACTGAAAAAACTCCACTCCTTTCTGACAGTGCCCCTGTGGTCTGAAGGCCCTGCTCCTCTTCCTCTGCCATCTCTTGCCCATTGAGAGAGCAAGCTGATACACAGCGAAAAACAGGCTTGAGACAAGGGTCGTGGAGGAAGACATGTCTACAGGGTGTCACTCAGCGGGAGGAATGCAACACTGGAACTTCAAAATGGATTGGCACCTCCTCATTTGTTTAAAAGTACTAAAAGCTTTCCGAGATGTCAAAAATAATGTAGTAGTCCCAGTTCAGCTGTTAGGAGAAGTGTGGGTGTGCAGCATGCAGGACCAAACAGTTTGGTTGCATTACACAACATAGATTTAGGAGTCCAGTATTAAACCCAGCCTTTGAATATCCAAGGGTTTGAGTGATGCTAATTAATTCACAGAGATAAAACAAAAAGAGCTGCAGCTGATTTCCTTACTGAGATCTCTTATAATTAAAAGTTATTTGGAGTCTGATTTAAATGTCTATGTGCACATTTAAAACATGCTCAGTTGTAGGTTGAACTTGGTGGGTCTGGGGAACAGGGTACTTCTTGTTCTTGTCATAACAGGTTGCGTGTTGAAGGTGGCCTTTAGCGTAGGCTTTGTTGTGCTTCATTCTCTGTGCAAGCTGTAGCAAACGTAGTGTGAAATAGTCAGGGATCTGTTGGAAGAAGCTGAGTTACCATCACCTCACAAATGGCAGAAAGCCGCATGACTTTGGGTTACTCACGTACTGCCTATGCCTGTCTGCTTCCCATCTGTAACACGGGGGTGACACTGACCCCACAAGCTGGCTGGGAGGCTTAAATCATCAAGGCTTGTGAAGCCTTCAGATGCTGTGCTGCCAAAGCCCTGGAGGAAGAAAGAGAAACAAAAATCAAAACATTGTTCAGAGTAGTGCTCCACTGATGCAATACAAACAAAACATCAAAGATAAACAAAATAGTGAGTAACTGCTTCCTACACCGAGCGTTATCCACAGTGCGTGCGGGGTGAGTCAGAGGTTCTGCAGGGTGAAAGAGCGGTGCCTCGTCCAGGTTGTCAGGAGAAGTGGGTCCAGTCTTGGCTGCATGTGCCCGTCCCTCTTGGCTGCACATGTCTGTGCCTCTACACTGAGTTGATGATGGGGAGGAGTACACGTCCCTTGTTCTCCAGAGCAGAACACCAGGGGCAGCACTCTAAGGGCTGGTCTAGCAGCAAGGGGGGATTCAGCTTGATACCTGTAGCCTTCACTTGAAAATTAGTTTGATTTCACTGGCTTTACACAATCCTGTGACATTACCGTTATTGTCTAACCTAATCAACTGTGTATAGGCAAAATAAATTTTGCAAGTCCCTTTCTCTCCCCAGCACACACACGCATCTCTGAGAAATGAATGAAAAGCGTATGAATGACCTTGTAGTCCTGATCCCTGCTGAATTTCAGGGCCCAAAAACCCTTTGAGGTGCAGGACTCCTTAAAAGAATTTTTGAAATTTCTATTTAGCATGCTGGACTTGAGTATGTAGCAATATGGGATCTGGTGTATCGTTCCGAAGAAGGGTATTCATAAAGAAGACGGTCATGAGATGTGCAAGAGTATAAAGCTGCAAAATTAAATTCATGCAGCTTTAACTTTGCCTCTCCAGCACTCCAACCCTCCCTCCATACGCATGCTGTCCAAGCAGGTTGGCTGCTTCAGGATCTTACTTCCACTCTTAGGAAAGGCAGCCGTGAAACTCCAGTTGACTTCACACAATACATGGTCACTGGAAATTCCTCTGTCATCTTTTGTCCGCTTTATGACTAGTGATTTCCAGTCTCCTGAATTATGTAGTGGTTCTAGGGTTTAAGGGTTTTTCACTTGGTTGGGTCTTCTTTACAAAAGACTCATTTTCCCTCCTGCATATACTTCCTGCCAGTCACCCATTTTCTTGACACAGATGGTTTCTCAGCAGACAGTGAGTAAAATGATCGTATCCTCTAAGTTTGATAGGTAATATTTTTTTGCCTGCTTTCACTCTCTCATCCATCTACCCACTCACATTCCCTTTTTTCCCTGCAAACTCACAGCATATTCTCTTCCATAATTCATTATCTCATGATGTACTTGAGCATCTGTTTATTTTTTTATTATTTTTATGCTTTCTTGATAGATTTATCAATATTTTAGCAGTTGGTTCTTTTCATGTGCACTGCTCTCTTTCTCATTCACACAGCTGTATGCTTCCAGTGCGGGCTTCAGACCCAGAGCAATACTGTCAGCTGTCAACAACCACCCATAGTTTAGATTTAGTGGGGTTTCACACCTCAGATGCTGAAGCAGCTTGAGCTTAGCAGTGTTACTAGGTGAGGTACATGGCTGCGCTGCTTTCAGAGCCAGCTCAGCTCGGAAATAGCTCTGGTACTCTACAAAATCTCATCTGCACCCTCCAGCTGTATGCTCACCTTGCTGGGATGGAAGGTGATGCAGCAGGAGATAGCTTCCACCACAGCACGTCGCATAGCACCCTGCACTAGCTAGGGCTGGGGGCCTTACTGGTGCTTTGTTGGGTGCAGAACAACCTGAGCTACTTTTCCCAGTTTTTTAATCCTGCATGGAAAAATAAGTCCCACCAGACTCTCTCACTCTTCCTCCTCACTGGTACTGTCCTCCCTCTCACCCGGCCTCCGCCTAGAGCAGCCCACTGACACATTGAAACCCTGAAAACGCTCGAGCTAGGTGTTGGTAGGGGAGGGCATTTGGGAGCACAGGAGGCAGAGCCTGAGCAGATCGAAGGGGAAATGACATTGAGCTTGTTGCACTGGGTGTTAAGAAGCCCACCCACCTTCAGGGTTTTCACATACATCTTCATAAAAACATCTTGATTAGGTCAATCTCAAACCGATAAGAACCAGGACATAAGAAAATGAGCCATGGTGCAGGCCACAGAGCCCACACTCAGATACCCCTCCTCTGAATAACACACCTCACAGTGGTAATGGGGGTTCAACTGGCACACGGGCCAAAGTGGGTGCACCCCGCCTGACTGACCAACCTGGTGGTTAGAGGGTGAACGGAGCTTCTGCAGTGTGTCGTGTCTTCAGGAACTAAACGCTGGGTTCTTGTTTAGATGGGTAGTGGCTTTTCTCCATCAAAATGTTTTTTTTCAGAGATTTCTCATCCATCAAGCAGCTGTTGTTTATTAAGGGAACTAACAGTCCCTTAGGGTTAACTTGTGACTCTGTCCTCTTCCAACTCAAATGTTTTTCTCCAGATATTTCCCAGCAGTCCACACAAACCTTATGGTAGTCAAATACCTGAAGTCTCTGTGACTTTTCCTCCGCCCATATAAAATGAACTGTGACGTGTTGGTGTTCTTCTTGGGTACCGCTGCAGACATGCCCAGAGTGTGCAGCCAGCTGATGGCCCTTCCTCAACCTAAAATGCCTTCTTTCTTTTTCAGGTGTGTGAGAAAGAGAAGTTGCTCTCAGAAAGGAACCAGCTGAAAGCAAGCATGGGAGAATTGTTAGACAACTTCTCATGTCTTTCCCAGGAAGTGTGTAGAGACATGCAGAGCCCGGAACAGATCCAAGCTCTCCACCGATACTGCCCTGTTCTCAGACCCATGGATCTACAGCCAGCCACCACCATCAGCCCCTCCCCAGCTGGCGTGGAGCAGAGCCTGGTGACCTCCCAGTGCGTCGGAGAAAGCATGCAGTGCTGCTCGGAGCAAGGCTCGGTGCAACTGGGAGCACCCTGGCTGCCCAACAACGTCTCGGAAAATTGTTCGGCCGGCGGGGGGTTGGATGGAGCCGACACAGGTACTTACCCCGAGAGAGAGCTTCCGCCAGAGCAGAGCAGCCAAACGGTCACGGTAGACTTCTGTCAGGAAATGACTGATAAATGTACAACAGATGAACAACCCAGGAAAGATTACACCTAGTGACTTGTAACCTTAACGTTACACCTGGTCAGGTGTTCTTCAGTCAGCCAGTGGCAGTGTTCATTTGTTGTCTAGAAGAACGTATTTGGTGCACACTACAGTGGTCTTAGCAGCAATACTGTTTTTAAGTATTCCCTCCTCTCTACAAGCAGGAGTTCTCTTCACAATGGTGCTATCCCTTGCTCAGGCAGGGAACGAAGCAGTGGCAACACTGTCTGTTTTTGTATGTTGATTTCAATCTTAACAGGGATGGACATAACACCTCTGAGGACCCAACCACAGCTTTTTTCTCAGTGGCCCATGTCACAAAACCCTAACTCAGGAATTTCCTCTGAATGTTCAATTTTTCATTGAAGACAGCTTCTTTACACATCAAAGTTTTATAGCTAAACTGTACATATTATATATAATATATATAAAATATATATATCCATATGCAAAAGTCCCTGCATGCCTCAATTTTTCTCATCCTACAAACTGGAAGCTTTCATTTCTATTGTATAAACAAGTTCCAACATTCCTTTTTGTCTTTGATGCTAGAACTAGTTTGGTAACTTGTTACACGATAATTTTTTTTTCCTCGGTTTGCAGTTCAGCAATATCATTCGATTTGTACTTATTTATAAAATTTTAATGTTGGAAACTTATTTGAGATTTTATTATAGACGATTTTTTTGGCACAGCCATTTCGTGCCACTTGAGCAATGTGGAGTTATTTTCTTGCAGATACTGTACAGTAATGGTCAACTTTGCCACTTGCACTGAGTTTCTGGTCAAACCTCTTTTCATAAATGAAGTCGTGACTTCAGTATAACTTGAGTATATGGTTTTCTTTGCTTTATGGCTTAAAGAAAATAGGAAAGTTTTAGCTAATAGACAAACACTCAGGAGCTCATTATGTAGGAAAAACGGTCTTGCCAAATACTGAATTCACTATACAATTTGTAAAGAGAATCTGCTTGAATTATTTTTATATTCAGACTTTTTTCTGTTTCACAAACCGAGTTTAAGTGCTGTTAATGATGCTTGTGGATTCTTATAGGGGAAAGTGTTTTTCACTCTTTAGAGAAAAAAGTATTTGACAACTGGATCAGTTCATCATACGTTCCGCAAAGTAAAGCAAACGGCGATCACATCTGTACACTTGAGGGGGGCTTTTTCTCCAGCCCCACTCTGCATCCTTTACTCATGGAGGCAACTGCTGCTCCGACTAGTCCCCAGAGCCTCACCTCAGCTGTCCTCAGACGTTACCTGTTTTCCTCACCAGACCCGAGTTGCAGGGGTGGGTCTGGTGAAGTCCGTCATCCTGCCTGGGTAGGCGGAGTTGCAGGATCAGACCCTTAGTTGTTGACTTTGATTTCCTTACAGAAGTCAAGTTAGCACTGCATCCTCTAAGAGCAGAACAAACATCTGCCAACATCCGATTCGGTCGCTTACCCATCCAATTCTTGTGTTCCAGGATCCTCTCGTCCTGCAGCGTTGCCCTCAGCACAAACCTCAGCGCTGTCTCAAAGGAGACTACTCAGTGAATTGGCTTAGTTGTAACTGTATTGGATTTGTATCTTAAGCATTGTTGACTCATGTTATGACTGTGTGAGACAGCAGCTTTCCAAGCATAACATCTGTATGTACAGTGTAGACAGAAAAACGTCCTCCTAATGCTTTTTTAATAATTATTATTATTATTCTAAGTGTACTGAGTTTTTATTTTGTGGTTCTTTGCCCTACGTGTGCCAGGTTGCGTGGCTTTATCCTGGACAACAACTGTCATGTGCTTTACTGGCTGATATTGTTTGTTCTCACTGAAAAAAAAACGACCAGCTGTTCACACCTATTTAAAAAAAAAAAAAAGGTGGGGGGAAGCAGCTTCTCAGAAGCACTAAGTGATAATGTGGTCTTCTGCGCTAACGTTTACACTAGAGGTGTGCGCTGGTGCGTTTTTTGAGGCACTCAGTAGATCAGCATCTTGACCCTGGAGGAGGAATCAGCTCCCTCTCTCCACTTCTTCCATCTTCAGACTGTGCTCATGGACCGTCGCCCACTCGCCACAAAGTCTTGCTTTTACCCTCTTCACCCAAACTATCGTAGCCAAGCTACCGAGGAGGAAATGCATATAGCATGTGCCATGTTTGTTGAAAATACTTTTTTTCCCCGCATGTACAAAGAAAAACTAGTATATAACGTAGGAGAATATTTATGTTTAAGTATTAATCATTACTGTACAAAATCCTTACCTTTAAATGTTCGAAAGTATACAAATGCCATAAACTCCTTGTTCACACGGTTGAAAAAGGGGGAGGAGTCGTCCTTTCTTTTTAAAAGAGCTTAACCTAAAAATATCTGAACCCCCTTCCAGCCACCTTTTGCAGGTAACTGACTGAGAAGCTCTTTGGCAGGTGTGGGGGGGGTGCGTTTTCCTTCGAATTCGTTGACGTTGCAAAGCAGTTCTGTGCTTCGCAGAGAAGTTTTGTTTCTATGAGACCATGGTGAAAGCTAGAATTTAAAACTAAATGTGAATCACATTATAGAGTCATAGCTACTTGGGGGGGCTGGGGGCGGGCGGGAGGGAAGGGTCAACTGACACAGTATTTTAAAGATGTTTTTCTGTTGCCTTTTTTATTTTTAAGTGACCTCCTATATATATGAATAGATAGAATGTTTTATGAGTATAAAACCAAGTTTTAACTTGCTTCCTGACATGAAGATTTACTCTACTAACAACTCATGTGCAACTGGTACTCTTGACCTCATTCCAACGGTTTGAAAAACCCACCCACACAACCCATTGTGCTGCAGCTCTTAGGTTTGACCTGGCTTCATACTGGTGCTGGGTCTCTTGGTTTCCTCTACCTTGGGAACTGATATTTAAAACCACTGCTCAAATAAGTGTCTCTTCCTCAACTTTTTTTTTCTTTCCCTCCCCCCGTGAGCTTTTCTGGATGTTTGATTTCATTCTTTCCCATTAGAAGTGGCTGATTTTGTGTCATCGCTTCCTATATTTACATGTATCATGGTTTTTTTGGTGGTGGTGGTTGTTTTTTGTTTCTATTTCGTTTTGAGGTTTTTTTGCTATTTCGAACCACGCGGCTCTCAAAGTGGTTACTGGGCTAACATTAAAGGAAGACACTGGGAGAATTAGTTTCAGACCTGGACGCCAGTTGACATACCCAAACGCTTTTGTCATGAGGTCAAACCAACTGACCACAAGAATACTATTGGAAAGAAAAAAAAAAAAAAAAGCTGGGTGCAGTATTTATGGGTTATTTATGGACTTTAATAAGAGTTTGGCTGATGGTCACCATGATCTTAAGTAAGAATCTCTTTGCTTTTGTCAAAAAGGAAACGTGCAGCAGTGGTCCTGCCAGGCATTGCTTGGGAGTGGCGTGGTGAGACCCCATCTCCCCGCTGGGCACTGCACCGCGTGCGAGTCCTTGAAGCTCTGTCCAGTCTGTATCTAGTCCTCCTTTTCCTTTGCCATTGCTATACTTGTATCGCCAGGAAACCTCATTTCATTTAGGCATGTTATGCTCTGTCAGGTGAGTACTACACTATATAATGTGTTTGTTTCTCTGCGTTCTCTGGGGGTGCCTTGAACACAACTAAAGCTCATTGCAAGCTGATTCTGGAACAAAAAGGTAGTGGGGGAAAAGAAAAGGAAAAAAAAAGAGAAAACAAAACAGAAAACAAGCAAAATCAAAGGAAAAATGTTGGCTGTGTTATCAGGAGATCCCAGTATTTATATCACAGACTTCCTAACGTGATGACTCAGGCGTCAGAGTTTGATGCTGCAGTATAAAACTATTATTTTATATATTGTACAAGTAATTTATTAAATGTCTTTCTAAGGGTATATGCTGCTTTTAAGATGCACTATATTTTTGGATCTAATCCTTGTATTATTTTTTTTCCCAAGGAAGTAAAATGTGCTGCAAAGGCAAGCCACAGTGATTAGTATGCTAACTGCTACTTCTCTTTAAAAAGGAGAGTGGGAACTAGATACGTAACTTTGCTAAATGGATTAACTGCTGCCAGAGAAATGATTAATGCTGACAGTGTGGTCGTTAATCTGGAGTCCAACACCTTGTCAAGTCTATATTCTAAAGAGCGCTTAAATAGAGGTTAAAATGCCTAGATATATAGTTAGATTTTTTAATATGTAACTTTATGATTGCCTAATAAATAAACAAATCTGCATGCTGGAATCACTATAGTCCTGTAATAAAATCCAATCTGATCCACTAAGAGAAAGCACGGTGAAGCGTTGCAATTCCAGAATCAAGGCCACATCCTCACTTGTGTCTTGTAATCCACTGCTGTGGTCGTTAAAAAAGGGAGAGGGAGGGAGCTGCAAAATAGAAAACCTGTTGTGAATTTTGGAGTGAGACGAAGTGAGCGTTTTGGCAGGTTTACACAAGCTCGCAGTTTGCTCCACCTCATGTCCTCTACCATTGCAACGGGGAGCGCTGCTTTCACCTTTTTTTTCTGATCTGAGATGCATTTGGAGGTGCCTCCGGGTGAATGCTGTAGCCCAGGGTTGCAGCGTTTTTGGAGTCTCTATTTTAGGGCTGCCTAGAGAAGGTTTAGCTCAGTATGAGCAGCAGAGCTGATGGCCTTGCATAAGGAAGGGATCTGCTAAGTATGGAGTGGTTTATTTTTATTGGAAGTAAGGTGAAACTAAAACCATTAACATAAAGAACTTATGCTCTCTTTCCTGCTAGAAATTTTCTCAACAGATTTTGACTTCGTTCCAGTTTTATCTCTGCCAACACAGTCCAAGTTAATTTTACATCCATATATAATATCTGTATGTATGTATACATACATCTATAATTCTAGTCAGAGTGTGTGTTTGTGTATTTTCCTGTTTATAATACATATATGTATATTTATAATGCTCCCTGGAGTATTTCATGACTCAGGCATCGGGTCTGATGCTGTAGAATACAATATATGTGTATATGCGTATGTTCAAATACTGTGTGTGTATTTAAAAGATCTAT